GAGAGAGAGAGAGAGAGAGAGAGAGAGAGAGAGAGAGAGAGAGAGAAACATAAATAAAAGTGAAATAAATCTTTTAAAAAAGAGTAAAGATGATTTTGCTCATGTAGCTGCAGAGAACTTTGCTGTAGCTCATCATTATAGCCTGTGACCTTGACACAGACACTTGAAGGGATCCTTGCCCTTGTCCCTGTAGCTTTACATCTTGAAAAGTTACTTGAAACATGTATTGGTGTCACGTGCTGTATTGAAAGCGACTGTGGAAATAACCCAAAGGGATTATATGATTGTATGATTATATGACGTTGGTCATATGATTAATTGCATTTGGCTTTAAGGTCTTCCTTACAAATGCTGCGAATGTCTTTTTGCTGGAACCGTGTGTTGAAGTTCCCATGCTCCTGAGGGAACAGGTAGATGCCTGTAAAGCTGTTCTGATTATTTTTCGGCGCATGATAATGGAACTTACAATGAATCAAAAGACATGGTAAGTTTACTTCAGATTAACATCCCCAAGCAGCTGTCTTTTCTTTTTAGTATAATTAAAGTGTTAAGGTTTCCATTTATCTCATGTCTTCACAAAACTGGCAGTAAGGTAAGCAGCAGTCCCGTGGTAGCTTCTGTGAATTCTGGTTGCCCAGCACTTGGATAATTCATTTATGTTCATTATTGTTTTTAAAACTGCTCTTGAACAGTAGTTAGTGTTACATTACCCAAAAGTGGGTTTTCCCATTTTAAACTGTTATCAGACAGTTTTATGATAAGTGGTGTGATTTATAATATGATTCTTCATAAGCTCAACTTTGTTTGTTGTCCTGAAGTGCTATAACCTTGAGTTTTATTCCTTCAACTTGGTACTTTAAATTCACTTTGGAAAAACAATTCTTTTAACTAATACATTATCAAAGTGACAACAGAGAAGTACAGTTAAAAAGTATGTCCTCACTGGTTTTTCCTTCCCTTTTCTTTTTCTTTTGCTGTTTTTCTATTAATTGTGTTCTTAAAAGTGAAATGTGCTAGATGTTTTCCATGCCTGTCTCCCATAGTGGATATCTCCACATCACCCTCAGTGATCTCAGTGATAGACTAGCAAACCCTGGCTTGTGCTTCCCTCCTTCCCATTGTCTTCACATGGAGCCTGTCTTAGAAATGCCTCTCCGGTCTGTCTGGGTGTGTTCATATCACTTAGCCACCTGTAAAACCACTACAGGTGTCTTTATATCTCAGATTCTAGGGCTTTGAGGCTCCTGAGGTTCTGTGGCAGTGGAATCCTTTCTGGACTGGCAATTTTTCTAGGACCACACCTATTTTATAGATGCCCTAGAGCCAGTACTGTTGGTGTTGTATAAGGTGTCTGTCCATAGTAGGTGGGAACACCCAAAACAAGGCTAGGGTGAGCTATCAGAGGCCACAGACCACCGTGAGGAGGGAAGGGTGGGCCCAGAGGAAATCTGTCTTGTAGCAAGTTCACAAATATCAAAATGATGATTTGAAAGTATAAATTACAAGGTCACCTTTACTGTTTTTTAAGTTAGTATTCTTACCAAGTTATATAGCTGTTAAGTTGGAAACATTACAGCCATGCTCAGTGTGATGTAAACCTAGTCCAGCATCATGGCAGTCAGAACGACCTGGTGAGAAATGCTTTCAGCTGGATGATGCTCCTAGTACCACAGCTGTGTGGATAGTATTCTTCTGTTTCTTTCCTTAGAAAATGATGAATTCTGTATACACTGTACAGTATTATACTTTTTATAATCATTTATTCTGATGAAAATTGTAGGAAGTGAAATAAAGCAACTGTTTTTTCCTTTAGAAATTTAGAGATTTCCAGATAAATGTATAAAAAGACAATTGTAGAAATAAATGACAATAGTAACTAAACGTGGTAGAGAATAGGAAGGAGCACTCTCTGTTTCCCAGACGGACTTTCTGCGTATTTAAGTTCCAAATGCCCGATGCCTTCTTTCACTTCCCTCCTTCCCCCACTTTGTCCTCCTCTCCTTTCCTTACTCCCCCCCCCCCCCCACCATCTACTATGAACACACAGTGGCGCACTAAATAGCAGGTCCTGTTGTGACAGGGCCCGGGTATCCTGGCAGTGAGTAGCAGGCCACCTTCAGCTCTGTCATTTTTCTTCCCTCTTCTCTTCAGATTTGCTGCCCTGCGCTGTACACATGTGTCTAGATCTAGGCGGTGCATTGTCTTCCTCCTCCATATTTCAGGATCCATAGATAGTGCAAAACAAGCAAACAGATGGACTAGAGCTCTGGGAGAATGGATGGTAACAAATAAGTGAACCTGGGACTATAGCCCAATGGAGCCAGATACCAAGGGAGCAGATAGCAAATTCCCAGAGGTCACTATACCATGAGAAGGTTACTGAAATTCTGCATTGTAGCTGGAGTTTTCCTGCCTTGCCCACAGTCAGGACAAATCTTTGTCACCCGTCAGTCCCACAGCCGCTCAGACCCAACCAAGTAAACACAGAGACTTACATTGCTTACAAACTGTATGGTTGTGGCAGGCTTCTTGCTAACTGTTCTTTTATCTTAAATTAACCATTTCCATAAATCTATACCTTGCCACGTGGCTGGTGGCTTACCGGCATCTTCACATGCTGCTGGTCATGGCGGCGGCTGCAGTGTCTCTCCGCCTCAGCCTTCTGCTTCCCACAATTCTCCTCTCTCCTTGTCCCACCTACTTCCTGCCTGGCCACTGGCCAATCAGTGTTTTATTTATTGACCAATCAGAGCAATTTGACATACAGACCGTCCCACAGCACTGCATCATCTGCCCACTGCACAGACACAGGAGAAAAGACACCATAGCCTACAGATCTCTTTGTCTGTCTGGCCTGGACCAGATTGCTTTGTTATATTCTTAGTTGTTTTTTTTTTTTTTTAAGAGTAGGAAGTGCAAGAAGAAAGTAGTGCAAATGAATAAATGGTTAGGGCTCAAAACCTTATAGGAACGAGAGTGATTCCCTTAGGGAATGAATGGGCTTCTTCTCTATATGGAAGATAGTATGTTCTCCATCCCCACAGAGTCCATGGATATGAGAAATGCAACTTGGCTCTGTAAGAAAGAAAAAATGATCTGCTGCTGTGTTCACCACCAGTTGTCATAATTAGCAGTGCTGCGTTGATTCTTTAAGCCTATTATGTAAAGACCCTTGTGTAAGACTGAAAACAGTAGCACATGGTGACTGGGCTATGGTGACTGCAGCCATCCCAGGTGTGCGCTGTGGTGCAGGCAGCATCTGCCAGGCACCAATACACGGCCCATCAGTGTTCAGTCCTGACCTTTCCAAACCCTTCCTGTCTTCTGCAGGAACCACAGTCAGGCAGTGTTATTGACTGCCTGTGTCCTCATAGTAAAGACCAGAGTCAGTGTTGTTCTATCACAAAGGCAGATGGGAGACTTTACAGGTTAAGTAACAAAATGATGGAGAATGTCAGAGTATTGTATTAGTTCCGACTGCCACAGCTATTCCCTTGGTGAGTGCCCTGGTGTGTGGTTCAACTGGAGAAAACCATCTTGCCCTCCTTCCTGCAAAGAGAAAAGTCAGGGATGATGTCTGGAAGATGTCATCCTGCCAGTTGGCATGGGTGTGAAATCATATTTGTTGAACTGTGGTAACATAAAGTAGTTTGTGTGGATAAAATATGAACATATTCTCTAACTGGCACCTAGACTTTTAATACTTTCAGATAATGTGTGATTATTAGTGTTGCTGATTGCAGAGATCTCATACCTATAAAGTGCTTTGAGGATGTGATTACTAATATGAGTTTTATTTTGGGTGGTCCAGGGAGCAGATGTTGCAAATCCTTCTCAGGATAACAGAAGCTGTCATGCAGAAGCCAAAGGATAAGCATGTAAAGGACTTGTTTGCCCAGAGCTTGGCAGGGTTGCTCTTCAGGGTAAGTCTTTTTTATTAAACACTGCAAATGCCGAATTGAAGCGGACTTGGCAAATTAGTTTTAATTACTGAGATTTTACATGTTATGTCAAATTAACTTTACATTTTTCAGATATTTTCCTTCTTAGCTTTGTTATAAATGTTGTGTCTGTTTTTCCAGTTAACATTGGGCCTTTTAGGCTTCCCTCTCTGCCATCTCCTTCCTCTTGGTTTGCTTGAGAGTGATAGGCATTCAGAAGTGACAGGAGTTGAGCATCTTAGCAGGGGAGAAGACCAGATAGATTTGACAGTTACAGGGTCAATGGAAATATGGAAGTGGGATGAAAACTTGAGGCCATCATCGTGTCAAGCAACCGTATGGGAAGCCTCAGACTGGATGGAGTGACTGTGAGAGAGAACATATATATGCAGAGGGAGACGAAGACGTCTCTGTGGTTGATAGAAGAGAGAGCCAGCCAGAGATACTGAGGAAGGAGGCCCAGTTTGCTGAGGGGAAAGCTAGAGTGGGTTGTTCTAGATGCCCAGTAGATGAGCAGGAGCAGGCGATCTTTGGTTCTCGTAAAATGTAGGTAGTTGAGAATGCCCAAAGAATTGAAGTCTACTTGGAGTAGATGAATCAGGAAGTGAAGGTAGCAGCTGTGGACAAAGCTTCCAAGAGCTCTTGATGTGGAAGGAAGAGGGGAAAAGGGAACTATCTGGAGGGGCCACTGTGTGTAGAGGGTGAGGTTTAGAGCAGGTGCTACTTAAGTGTTGGCTTGCCAGTGTGATGTTCTAGTGAAAGAGGTCAGGATGAATTGGTTCAGAGGGAGAGGAACCTCAGGATCTGGTAGGACTGAATGACTCTCAGTATGAGCTGGGACTATCACTCCCCCTTGTCCTTTTGGAAAAGGATAATTAATTGAAAGGCTGTCTTGCTTTTATGTCCAAAGGTTCTTCCATCCCATCTCCCCTCAACTAGCTTTGAGGATTTTGCACCATGTCCAAGTGCTATTGTGACTTTTGTTGATGATTTACAGGTTTGTGACATTGACTATGACAAATTCTCTGAACTGCAGGAAGTCCTTCCTTCCGCCCTCCCTCTCCTTCCTCCCTCCCTCTCCTCCCTCCCTCCCTCCCTCTCTCCCTTCTCTCCCTCTCTCCCTTCTCCCCCCCCTCTCGTTATTTGAGAGGTCTCACCTAGCCTAGAACTCACTATGTAGACATCTGTGTGCCTCTGCTTAGATTAAAGGCAAGTGCTACCACATCATCACTTTATTTCTTATACTTAGTAAAGTGATTTCCAGTCTTGATGTCTTACTGTACCAAGACATCCATCTGGTTTTGTTCCTGCTACCAGTACTGCAGCAGAATGGGAGGTGATTCCTAGTGACTTAGTGACTTCTGCAGTCTCCACCCTCTCCTCTTATCCACTAAGATTATATCTATTGACCTAATATTGGGTCAGCTTTATTACCACTAATATTTTATTGAGTTGTTTTTTTTGTTTTTTTGTTTTTTTTTGGTTTTTTCAAGACAGGGTTTCTCCGTGTAGCTTTGTGCCTTTCCTGGATCTCGCTTTGTAGACCAGGCTACCCTCGAACTCACAGAGATCCGCCTGGCTCTGCCTCCTGAGTGCTGGGTAAGACTAAAATGCCAGTTTCTGTCTATACGTTTTTAACTCATGTCTTCAAAAGTTCAAGTCCATTACCAGAAAGCAGTAAATTAATAATCTTTGTATAATAGAAAATGTTGATCTAATAATAAAATTGACCCAATACTAGATCAAAAGTTAGTAATTAGTAATTGACTTCTTTACATGATGGTGGGCTACAAGTGCCTTTGGGCTGTCCTCTGTAAAGCAGGTGAATAATCAGGAAGCCAGCAAAGGGATCTGTGCTGGACATGAAGACAGAAGAGTGCACAGCAGTTAGGGGGTAGTAGAGCCACAGAAACGGGTAACCAAAACCCAGGCAGGAAGTGAGAGCTGTCAGAAGGAAAAATCCAGAGTCAACTGGCTGGGAAGTGAGGAAGTAGAAAAGTTTGACTTTGACAGAGGAGGGAAAAAGGCTGTAAGCAGAGGGGAAATCTGCTTTAAGGAGAGTGTGTTGCTAAGGGTAGTTTGGCTTAATAGAAGCACAAGATTCTGAGAAGGAACCCAGAGCAGGAGTAGGCATGCCTCTTGGAAGATGGCGCAGATGGAGGTGAAGCTGGGTGAATGCTGGTGGATGGAAGGTCTCGTGGGCTGAAGTTGAGACATTTGATGAATTGCCTTTGAATTCTGCAGCAAGCCCCGCTGCTCAAAGTCATGTAGCACTCAGATTAGAGGATCACACATAGAGAAAGACATTTACTATAGCCTCTGTGGTGATGGGGAAAAAGCCTCCATCAAAAGCTAGTACTCACTGGACAGAGGGTTTTCTGTTCTGGCCAATATCAGCAGCACTAGCCACGCACTTTACAATGATATTTTCTCAGATAACTCATCTTACCTTAATTGAAGTCCTGGTTATAGTTGGTCCAAAGTAAGAACAGCAATGAAAAGGATGTTAATTTGTTGTTGTTAAAAATCGTATATTTGGTTGGTTTCAGACGCTTATCGTGGCTTGGATCCGAGCAAACCTCTGTGTGTACATTTCTCGGGAGCTTTGGGATGACTTTCTAGGTGTGCTGTCATCCCTCACAGAGTGGGAGGAACTCATTACCGAGTGGTCCAACATCATGGACTCCTTGACAGCTGTGCTCGCAAGAACTGTGTATGGAGTTGAGATGACAAACCTACCTCTAGATAAATTAAGTGAGCAAAAGGAGAAGAAGCAACGTGGCAAAGGTACTTTTACTCTTTCAGGGCCGCAGCAGTGGTGTGGGGTGAGAGGTATTTATCTGTACACCTACGCCATTAATGCATTGATTTTCATAATGAGCTAAACCAACTCTAGTGTCCTTTTAAATGCTGGTCATTAGAGAGTCTCTTCTATTACTTTGTTCCCTTAATGAGACTGGTGACTATCTAAAGAGACTGTAGAAGAAGAAAAACAAGAGAGAAGTACTGATAACAGGAGTAACACTGACCAGTGCTTTGCATATGGACTCCATCCTTGTGATAGCTCTTTTAGATAGATCTGTGTCACAGACAGAAAAACCAGAATACAAAGACTTACAATGACTGATGTCAGAGCCAGCCAAGTCAGCCCAAGGTACCACACTGCTAAGATTCATGTTGCTGCCTCCCTAGAAATGTGGAGGAATTCCAAGTGCTTGAGATGGGAGCCATTTTGGCTTTATTGTGCTTCTAGTAAAGCTGTTTTCAGACCTAAGGAAGTAAAAGTAACAATTTTGAGTTGTAAATCAATGGGAGTTTCTGTTGGAGATGACAGTTGGTATCCCCTTGTCTTTATTACAGTTCCTAAGGACTACAGTACTTGAGTTAATTTGTCAATTCCAGCTTATACTATCTTATACTGTAAAGACTTGAGCTGGCTTATTCAAATGCATATGGTACATATTAAGTGGAAAAAGAAATAGGACAAAGTGGGAAGGAGCTGCAGGTTTGGTTAAATGCCAAAATACATTTTATAGAGCCTCATGGGCTTGCTGGGGAAACAGGAAGAGATGACTTTGGATTTGACCTTGGTGTTCCCCTGGGTTATAGCAAACAGAATCATAGAATACCAAAGGTAAAAACCATGTGTTTCCTTGGGTGATAAGTAACTTCCCTTGGTTCTGAGACCTAGAAGGCATCTTTCTTCAAAGCTTTATCAAGTTATACATGGTTACAGCAGATTATGTTTTAGTAATAATAACCTTAGTATAGACTGTCTCAATTGGTTTTTGCTATGTGACAAATCACCCCAAAACTTAGTAGCTTAACATAGTAACTGTTTATTTAGACCACGATTTTATGAGCTGATAAGTTGAGTTGCACACTCTAGCCAGTGATAATTCATTTTCATGTTATTCACTCTGTGCTGTGACCACTTAGATTGCTCTGCTTCTAGGAGTTGACTGGCTGTCAACCAGGGCAGTGAGTGTGACTGGGCTACATATTTCATCACCCAGCAGGTTGGCACATGGTTGTTAATATAATGTGACAGAAGTAAATTTTTCAGGTCGCACTTCTTTAGTTTTACTACCAGAGTATGATGAAGTCCAGAGTCAGTGTGAGACCAAAGGATGTGGATACAAGGAGACATGAACCAATTCTAGTGATGAATTAACCATATATAAGTACTAGGGGCTGGCTTATAATGTATTCATTGCAGTCTGAGAATGGTTTGCCAAAGTCCTGGTTAGTAAAAGCAAGCAGCTAGAAGCCAAAGCAAAATAGCTATGTTCCTAGCATTCCAGTAGAATGGGTTAATCCCAGTTTAGATTTAGACTATGCAGTGCAGTAATTTTCTAACATGGCTTTAGCAACAGGTCATTTTTTTTTTTTTCCACAGTTGAAGCTAAACAAGAATCTTAAAAAAAAAAAAAAATACACACCAGCCTAGAGGTCCTTACTCTCTTCTGGTTCTCTTGCATGTCTGAGCTTTCCGTGCAGGAGGCTGGCTACCTAAGACAGTGTTTTAGAGGAGAGTTTATCCTGCGGAGGATAGAAGATGTGGCTTACTTTTTCAAAATAAATGTGTTTCTTGCCTCCTGAAGGTGTTTAAACTTAAACACACACACACACACACACACACACACACACACACATGCATACCTTGTATCTTAAAGGTCTTTCTTCCTACCTAGTATATAAACATAGTCCCATGAAGAGATAAAATAGCATTGGGAAAATAAACAACTTCAAAAGTACTGTTTTCCAGAGAGATACAATGAATTCTTTAAATAATGACCATGACAAACATCTTAATTTATACTGCCTTATTCTAATAAGTGATTTAAATATTTATTATACAAATATAGGCCTAAGTACTAAACTAGTGAAAACAGAAAATCAAAACCAAGGGAACTTGATGAGAAAACGAGGCACAAGTTGTATCTACTGTCTACATTATTTCTGAGAAAAAAAAAAAAAATCTCCTAAATGTCTTATTTTCTTTCCTTCTGTATTTCTTTTGGGTCTTTGACCTTTCTTTAAAATAATTGACCAGAACACTATAGAAAATAGAAGTCAAACCTCAGACCACTTTGTTACATCGTTTTGAAACTTTTCTGAAATGAGATTTTAAATTATTTGTAGATTTTTATTAACTTACCCATTTGACCAAGTTGGCGTTAGAGTTCATGGGTTTCTGTGGGGTTTGTGGCTGGGTTGAAGTCTTCAGAAGCCAGTACCATTTTAACATCGGTACTTTAAAGCTTTTGGCCTATAAGTGATGGCTTTTAAAGTACCATGGGAACATTGGCATAAGTTGATATGACATTGTTCTTACAGTGGGAAAGATTGGTTAATATGTACTTTTATATGTGGAAGAAAATACTATGACGATACAATTATCATGAAACTGTTGGAAATTAAAAATACTTTGGTAGCAAGTATTTTGCAGTTACTGATATTTCTTCTTAAATTGCAACACAAGGAAGCAGTTCTTAATTTGCAGCATGGGAATCTGCTGGTGCAGTGTTGTACATAGGCCATTTCTTGACTACTGTTAATATACAATTGTATGTTTGCTATTTGCTGAACAGCCTAGGCAGTAAAATGAGTAACAAATTCAGATTTTAGATTGTTTTCCTCATCTTATCCTTTATCAGGTTGTATTCCAGATTCCCAAAAAGGGACCGCTGTGGGTAGATCCTTTTCTCTCAGCTGGCGTAGCCATCCAGATGTGAATGAGCCAATGAGATTCCGAAGTGCTACCACATCTGGAGCACCAGGAGTTGAGAAGGCAAGAAATATTGTTCGCCAGAAAGCAACTGGTAAATATTTGTTTAAATATCACTAAACAAATCTAATGGCTATTTAAATGAATTTATAGGAATAAACATTTTAAAGTTCTCAGAATTTAAATATTAGATGTTTTAATAAATGAAATCTGTATCTTTTCAAGTTTCAGTTCTGGGTACTTCTCAAGTCACAGGTTTTACTATTTCTTTTTAAAGTCTCTACTGTGAAAAGGGAGCTTGATAAATACACCTTCACCCTCAGTGATGTCATTGCTAGGCAGTGCTCCTTTAGGAGTCTTGTGATAACTGGTTCTAGCGAAGAAAAGGAGGGTGACACTTGGTTTTAGGAACAAATGAAGACATTCTCATTTTTGACTTCTTTGAAGACTTTGAGCTCCCATGCCTGTGGATGCTGCTGTTACAGCCTATTTGAACTGCCACTGTTACTTCCCATGCCTGTGGATGCTGCTATTATAGCCTATTTAAACTACCACTTTTACGTGATGGAGAGCCCACCAATGACCAGACAGCTTTGTTGCATTTTACTATGGCAAGGGCCAAATCTAAAAGGGAAGCTGATATTCAAGATGAAGACAAGAAGGTTCTCTCCTCTCTTTGTGCTCTGATTTAGGACTGAAACAACCTTATCTCAGTTCTAATAATTTCTCTCATCAGCAGTACCATACAATTAGAGTTGATAATCAACAGCTTTAGAAAAATATAAATAAGATCGTCAGGCCATAAAACAAATATTTGTTAAGTTTAACATATTTTGTTCATTGCTTGTTAAAAGCCTAATATAGATGGTTTAGCATCCTGTTGATGGTTTCATCTAGGTGTATTGTTCCTCATTCTTTATGCCTGAGCATTTACTGGCAATTCTCATTTTAATTATCGGCACCACCTTTTCTGTTAGTTTTTCTTCATTCTGTCTCCCAAAAAGAGACAGTTTCAAAAAACATTCAGTACTGAGGACGCCCACTGACTTCCGTTCTCAGTTCAACTCCTACGGTCTTCCTTGCCATCACTGGATCTTTCAGTGAAAGAGATGAGAAGCATGTGGCAAAGGCAATGTCCTCCCAAGCTGTGCAGACTTACGCTGCCTTCACCACCCTTGAATTCCAAGTATAAGCACTAATCCAAAAACACAGCATTTTATTCATACATGATGATCAGCATCAAGTACATGCACGTCTCATATGACACTAAAAATCTTAATTTCCACCAGATGTTATAAACCAACTATATAGTTAGAAGCATCAGCATGCTTTAGAAAACACTCAGAAAAGGCAGGCTATGTTTAAAAATGTTCTCAAGCATTTGAAGGGCCATGTGACATTGGACAAACCTTTTTCAAAGGTTTTGTAAAGATATTTGTGGAATATGTACTTTAAAACTCTAAGGTTGGCTTTTAGAATTAACTAAATTTTAAAAGCCTAGAACTGTTTTATTTTTGAAAGACAGTGAAGTCCATCAATTGCACAAGTCTAATATCTTTATGCTTTATATATACACATCTATGTGTGTGTATATATGCATTTCTTATTGTATTTTATATCTTTTAAAATGCTTAATGTTGTGAATCAGTTGTTACCTATTAATGGCCATTGAAGATTTTTTTATACTTTGCGGTTTAATAAGACTGTTTAATAATACACATGGGTAATTTTACTTAGTTTTATTTTCCTACTTTTTAACAAAGCCCAGAGTGTTTTCCCTGTAGTTTGAGTGTGTAGAAGGAGTTTCTGTGAGAGCAGAAGTTCACTGAAACAGTTCTCACTGTTCTTAGGAGGAGTTAGCAGTTAGCAGTAATTATTATGGGATAGACACTCAAAAGTAGCTTTGTTTCTCTAATTTCATTAAGAGCAGTTTAAAATATTCACATAATGATTCACCCCACAGATTTTCAGTTAGGTAAAGATGCTGTCACTGATGGTGACACCAGAGAAGTCAGTGTAACTGAAGTGGCCTGGCATGGAAAGATAACTCTGGCCCTGAATGTCAATGATGGTGAAAATTCAGATTTCTAAACTCTCAAAGTGATCCAAGTGAGTCTTAATTGCCACATAAAACAGCCAGTATTTTTACTATTTTTAAATTTCATGGTGGTCCATTTTGGAAAAATGCACAATCATTTGTTTTATAAAAGGAAAGCTCTTTAAACAGTGCTCAAATAAAATCTTGGCCATATACTGAGATAAACAAATCTTTTACACTTGGACATTTATGTGGTCACTGCCCTTTACATATTATCTCTCCCTCCCTCCCTCCCACACACACACACACACACACACACACACACACACACACACACACGAGTTATGTAATAATTTCATTGCTGGAAATGCTGATAGCAAGGCATAGGGAAAGGGACAATAAAGTAGAAAGTTTGTTTCAGTTTCTGCAAATGTGCCACCCTTGTGTATAGTTTTTTCATGTATACTTAGCAGAGGTACATAAAAAAAAACAACAGAGCAAATAATCCTTTGTATTTTGATTTTAAGGATAGCACTGACTTTGAAACATGTTCTCTTTCTGTATTTGTTTTATTAAATGTTTATTTAACCAACAATGTGTGAGAAACAAAAGTTGATACTGAGAAACCTTGTTCTTACTAAATGTGAAATACAATATAAAAAGATAGTTTTCATGGATATCTAATAAAATATCTGATTCATATATTCATGAACTTCTGGGACATTTAGTTCACTAAGTGGTTAGCTTTTAAATACAGTCAGCTCTCAGTAGTTCAATTTCTGAATTATTTATTACTTAATAGAAAATGTTTTGTATTGGACTACATTTTCCTTTTCTCACTGTGGTCTTTGTATGTGTATTCTTTAGGAAGAGATAATAATGTGCTAATAATGTAATAATGGGCTGTGCTTGAGCAAGCAGCCCAGACATCCTTCAGGTCCACTCTGACACACAGCAGCAAAAGAAAGGGTAATGCCTGGAGCATTCCCAAATGAAACAAGTTTTTTTGTGTGGAGTGACCATTCTAAGACGTCAGTGCTCGACTGAAAGTTGGCTGTATTTAGAGACTGTGATTAAGTACTCTGATTTTATTGACTTCTTTCAAAACTTAAAATGGCTTCCTTTAAATGTTAAAGGAATTGCAGCACCATAAGAACTTAGAAGTGATGAAAGGTCTCGCTGTGCTCTGATGTAATGTTGCTTTATCTCTCCTGGAAGCTAAGCGAAGCCAGTCTATCAGCAACTGTGTCCACCTCTCTGAGGCTTTGCCTGCCACTAAAAGCGTCCCGCTCCTCCTCCATACCGTGAGCGCTCTCTTCCCTGGTCTCTCTTACTCTTCTTGCTCTCACAGGCTGTCAGGTACTGTAATGCTGTCTTGTGTGTCCATCTGTGTCCCCAGGCTTCTGTCTCCTGCCCCAACTCTCCAGGTCACATTCAGGAGGCTGTCGGTTTCACTTGTGTTAAATTTCAAAGAATACTGGTGGTTGTTTTTGTGTAGTTCATGGTTAGTAGCAACTAGGCAGTAAAAAATTCTATAATCTTCCTGGTTATCAGATTCATGCTGATAATTGAGGTTTTAGTTAAAACAAACAAGAAAAAAGCTAAATAATTCTAATTTTCAAAACATTTTTATTCTTAGACTTCACGCAGTTGAAACTGAAATTAGTTCATTTGTGTTTTTTTTTTTTCTCATGATATTATAGTACTAGCACAGTAAGGTGAATCTAGTTAATAATAATCCACTGTGTGTCTTGACATAGCCAGGGTAGGGTGTTTGGAATGAACTTGTTAAATAAATGGTGAGAGTGATAGATACACTAGTTATCCTGGTCTGATGGCACATTGCCCACACTGTCCTTGCATCAAGATGCTACACTGTGTACTAATACCGTGTGTAATTACCTTATGCCAGTTATAAAGGGAGGAGGATATTGCAGTACCAAAAGTGAGTTTTCTCTTGTTTTTCCTAGTCACTCTTAAAAGGAATTTACTTTCTGTAGTGAATAATTATATCTACAAAGAGATTTTTTTTTAGTCATTTTAAGATGAATGAGAGCTTAGTTAATAGAGAAAAATTTTACTATTCCTTTTACATTTTGAGTTCTGACACATAGATTAGGATTCTTTAAATATTGGAGATAGCCTAATTACGGTTTCTGTCGCACAAACACTAAAGTGCTATTGTAGTTTGGCAAAGCAAAATCAAAGCGTAAGTAAAATACCATGAGGAAGAGTTAGTTGTAACTGAGAGTGGGGGCGATTGTGTTGCTTTAGTGAACACTGAGTGTTAAGACAGTAGATGGCATTGGAAAGGGGCCACCACCAGTTAAGTTGCTGCTTGAATAGTAAATGAGTGAGGATTAGATTTTCCTGAAAATGCACTTCTTAGAGATAATTAATGAGGTCTTTAAACAAATTTGCTATATATTTGACTGATTGACACCAGAAAGAAATCTTTTAATGTGAAAAGTTTTATTTTACAGTCTATTTTATTTCCACACTGTTTCACTTAGGTTTTCTCACTAGATTTTCTGGAATATGTTCTCAGAAAAATACCTTCCTATTCATAGCTTCATTTTTAAAAGTTTTGCTCTTATCCAGGCTTGTATTTTGAATTACTTAGATACTTGGTCCTTATGTGTGTGTACATGGCTCCTGCAGAAGCTGAGCGGTTTACCGTAATAACTGTCGACCAGGATGATTGGCAGCATCTGGAGCCGTTTTTGGTTGTCACAGTAAGATGGTGCTGTTGGCATCTAGTGGGTGCTGGCATCTAGAGATGCTGCTGAATACTCTGCTGATGTATTCAGAAGATGGTCAAGCCTCAAGTATGCAAATATGGCAACGCCTATGGCGCTGTCAAATGGAGCAAGCTGGACCAGGTCTGGGTTTCCCTGTCTTTACCATCTTTACTCCTGGTTTTTATAGCAGGGTGACTGAAGACACACTGATGAAGCTGCCATTTCATCTGACAGCTACAGTAATGAGTGCCTTCTCAGTCTAACTCAGTCTGACTGTCCTTTATTAGTTAGAATGCCACCGTTGTCTTTTGTGACTGCCCTGTCGGTAGACTAGGCCAAGGGAAGTGTGTACCAGCCCTAGGAGTATATATTCTTCCTGGTTGGCGATTTTCAGCCTTGAGTTTGGGTTCTAATGTACATCTGAGTGGATGGGCATCTCCTGCTAAACGGTGACTAAGTATCAAGCAGGCTCTTTAAATTTTCCTTTCTGGCCACAAGTTGAGTATTTTGTTTGTTTGTTTTTCCTTTTGTTTTACGGTTTCAGTGCTTGCTAATTTTGTTTTTATTGATGGCAGTAGTCCTTGTTTTGGTTTCTAGTCTGTGAGTTGTCAACTCGCCCAAATTGTAATAATAAAAGCATTGGCAGTGGATTTGGAGGTACAGGAAGCAGTGGTGTTTGAATTTGGGGAGAGTCAAAATCATCCATTTCCATTAATCTGAGTAGCTGCATTGAGAGAAAAACATGCACCTGGGAAGTGGGTGTGCCAGCTGGGTTGTCCTCTTTCTTTTTCTTGAGAACAGTCCTTCTCAGCTGTCAATGTTGACTGCTTGCTGTGTTGGGACATTTATCAGTCTGTAGCACTTTCATGCTATGCAAGAGTAGATTTTTCTTTTTCTTTTGGGAGTGTTGTAGTGGTTATAACTAGCAGATTGACTTACCTTACTTATCTTACCTTGGGGACCTAAGGGCAGGTCTTGCTTAGCTGCTTCTGTGTCTTGTTCATATGTGCCATGGAAGTGCTTCTTGTTATGACCTGGACTGATTTACCCTCAGTAAGCGTGACCTTGTGGACATCCAAGGTGTTAAATGGATAGCATCTTCTGAGCTTTTAGAAGATCAAGTTGGCATCTATGATTGTGTTTTTATAACTAGGGCCTTACACTCTAATTTTGCTTGTGTAGCCTTGTATGGGGAATAAATGGAACATAGTATCTTTCTTATTGGAGACAGAGCCTTGCTGCATTTAATAAGATGGAATAAGGAAGTCTGCAATTAAAGAGTGAATAAAAAGTAGACAGACATCTGGAGAAAATAGAAGTTAACTGAAGAGCTTACACATTTAGTTCAGTCATGCTGACTCTTAGTGGGGGTAAGAGAAAGAAATCCTTATGATCATTTTGCTGATGTTTTCAATGGAGCTTTAGAAAGTAGTGGGTTAGTAATGGTGTTGAGTAACTACATGCACTCTCAAGAGACAGGAAAGTTAGTGCTTCTAAATTGGGTATTATTAGACTTCACAAAGGATAAATTAACTTAGAATCTGAGGCAGAATTCAGCTCTTCAAAGTGATTCAAACAGAAATTGTGTGACATTCAAAACAGGATGTATCGAATCTGAGATTTATTGCACAATTGTTATGTAACTCAGATGTTATTTTTCTGTTTGACGGGCAACCCTGTGTCTTTACATTTTATATCAGTGTTAAAATCGTTTTCATTAGTTACAAAAGAGCGACTCAACATGAACAGGAGCAACCTTAGCCCAGTGCTTTCTTCAACAACGTGCCAGCAGAGGGAGCCCAAGAGCCGTTAGGAAGGGAAGGTGTTCAAGTGTCACTCTCTTACCCATTTGTGTAGAGCCGTTAGGAAGGGAAGGTGTTCAAGTGTCATTCTCTTACCCATTGTGTATTTGAATACGGACAGTGTGGCACACACACAAGTCCATGAAGTGTACACCTTCAAAACTACAAATCAAATTTATATTATGACATAAGAATAATTGAAAATTCCTTTTTACACATTTTCTCAATTGACAGTCAACTCCAAGAGTAGGCCCTAACAGAACAGTAAGGTATGTGGCTGTCTCTCATTCTTCCATCCCTGCCATTTCCGGTTCTTTCTACAGGCTTGGACTTTCTCCACCTGAGAAGTCCCTCTTAACAGTTTTGCAAAATCAAAGCCTTAAAAGATGCATTAGGCCCGCCTGTTGGGAAGGCAGACAGCTGGTGGTAGCAGGCTCCTCATCCTCCGTCTGCTGTGTTGAGGACCAGTGGGGACACTCTAATTTGGAAGCCATGGTGCTGTGGCTGTGCCGCATCCCGCCAGATGGCGATCTTCTTTATCTTTAGAAAGACGCTGCCAGTGTTGGCTCAGCTTTTATTTACTTCTGCTCAGAACCCAGAAACTGGCGTCCACCAGTGTTTGGCACCAGGCTTCAGGGGGAAAAAAAACCCACTCTTCCCTCTGTCCACAAAAATGGGCACTGCCAATTATTTTTCAGATAGTTAGGAAGCTCTTGGGCTCCCTCTACTGATACAGGAGTGGCAAATACAGTATCTTCATTTCGCCATCTCGTAAAATTAGAATAAGAAGGTGATTGGAAGGGCTGGTCCGTAGTGTTGAGGGACCTGGTGCTAGAGAGTCTAGCAAACCTATGGAAAGGGCCTGGTCTTTGCTCTGGGATGTATAGGTAGATTAAAAATGTGCACCTATGCCGTGTGTCCTCTATGGAGAAATGAACAGTTCTTTGCTGCCCAAGAGAAGCACTAGGCAAAGATGGCCTGGGGAAGATGAGACTGTCTCTCCATGCTGTCTTGGCCTGTCATCTCTCTGTGCTCAGGTTCCCAGTAGCATTCAGCTTTAAATTGTGGTCTAAGACGATGGAACTTCAATTCATAGTTAACACTCACACAAAGCTCATGTTTGAGCCTTGTAATTGTACTAGTATAGCGGAAAACAAGAATTTTCATTTAGGTAGAAAAAGCAGAGCAGCAACCCTTTGTGGAAATCCCATATATTAAACTCAGAATCATCTTGTGTAGGCACATCTCCTTAGCTACAGGGATCCTTACTATGGTTTATGTCCAGATGGGAGGACTTCATTGGCAATGAATCTCCATTTCAGATGAGGAACCAATGACATAGCCAGTTTAGATAATATAGACTGAGTTTTGAGAACTCTCTTTTTAAAAGTAGTAAAACTTTCACTGATTAATTTTTTATTTTTGGAAAATATGGTGACATGGGCATGGGGATATGGAATTTTTTGACAGCATCAGTGAGTTTGGAGTCCAGTGTGGAACATGCATAGCAAGATGCATAGTTGTAGTGCTTTGTGCAGCATGGGGATGAGGGACAGGGGACAGGGCTGAGATTCGCAGAGGGGAGTGAGGAGCAGGAGGAAGAGAGCAGAAGGAGCCAGAAGGATCAGTATTGTTGAGACTAAATTTAGAGAGTGGGAGCTCTTGCATGATGACTGGGGTGGACTTGTGAGGTAAGGTTGAGAAAGGCCAGGTAAACTGATGGCAGACACAGTTACATCTTCATTTCAGTGGTGCCTCTCTGGCAGCCATGCAGAGAATAGTAAAAAGAAGGAGACAGTGACTAGTTAGCAGGCTCTTCTGATGACCCAGGCAGAAGATACTGCAGTCCTGAGACTACGAGTCTAGAGGGAGCGGGTAGAGTGCTGTGGCTGGTCCTAAAAGATTAAAATGAGCTGGCATTTAGAAATGAGCTGGGAGAGAACCCATTCTCCAGGGCAATAGAGGCTGTAAAATATTAGCAAAATTATCTGGTGGTGAGTGCTCATCTTTGGTTTTCCATTTTATACCATGTGGATCATTTTTGTGCTTAGTGACTAGTTCAGCTTTGCACTTGGTAGTATGAGGATTGAATAGCACTTTATTTTGCACAGTTGTACATTATCTGTTAGAAGGAGTAGTACAGTTAGAATTCTTGTTTCTTTTCCTCTTAATTTAATGTTGGGGGGTACCACCTATGCTCTCTTCAAGTATTATTTATCTATCTCGGCATTTCCTACATGGCTGAGTCTTTCCTCCCTGCTAGGAAATTTGAAATAACTCAGAGTTATCGACCATTTTTGTGGTTTTCTTCACTTGCCCCTTTCTTTCACCTGGGAAACAAAAGGCCAATTGGAACTTAAGAAAAACATATTGTGTAGTGGAATGTTAGTGTTAATAAATACAGGAAGTTTGATGATGTTCATGCAGATTACCTTTTTTTTTTTTAAGTTTAACTTTAGTTTATGTTCATTGGTGTGAGGGTGTCAGATCCCCTGGAACTGGAGTTATAGACAGTTGTGAGCTGCCATGTGGGTGCTGAGAAGCTGGGAATTGAACCCAGGTCCTTTGGAAGAGCAGCCAGTGCTCTTGACTGCTGAGCCATCTCTTCAGCCCCCATGTAGATTATCTTACTGCAGTCTGGTTTCTAAAAAAAGAAAATCTGAAACTTAATGTTTTTTAAGTGTGAATTTTTTTTTTAAATCCCCAACCACAGTCCTGTTTGTTTTGTGTTAATGCTTTCAGAAGTGGAGGAATTCCAGCAGGCAGAAAGTACACCTGCAGCTGACACTGATTATCTTGTGGTGGGACAGCAGCAGGTCCCCCGGAGCAGCAGCACCTCTGACATCACTGAGCCTTTGTGCTCAGATTCTTCTCAAGGTAAGTGGAATCTTGAGTTGTTTATTTGTTTGATTGATTGATTCATTTTGAGACAGCATTTCTCTTTTTTTCCCTGGCAAGCTTGGAACTTTGTTGACCAAGCTGGCCTCGAACTCACAAGTTTCCTCCTACCTCTCAAGTAAGTATAAGGATTAATTACCCTGGGGCTGGCTGAGTCCTTAGTTATTTAGTACAAAGCCATAGATTTGGGCTTGGGATGGGGGTAAGCTGCAGGTAGTGTTAATTACTATATTTATTCTAAATATCTGTTTCAAAGAAGGGGGTGTTACGTGTGTATGTATGTTGTTAGTGTGGGTGTGTGCGTATGTGCATATATCTGGAGGCCAGAGGTTGACGTGAGCTATCTTTCCTTGATGACTTTCAACCTATTTATGTGTTTATTTATTTTGAAGCAGAGGTTTTCCTGATCTGCAAGCTTACCAGTGAGCTCTAAGGAGGCTCTTGTTTCCCTCTGCCCTGCCCCAGGTTACAGCCTCTTGCTGCCTGGTGCAGCTTTTTATTTTGTATGGTGTCTGGGGATCTGAACTCAGGACCTTGTGCTTGCACAGCAGGCACTTTACCATTGAGCCATCTCCCCAGCCCAGGTATTTACTTTTTAATTTGACCCCAAGAATGTGACCTCTGGAAGTGAAACTTTTTTGCTATTGAATATATTTATCTAATACATACACATCTGTAGTCCTCACGTTTAGCATGACTGGGAACTAGAGAGGAGTCTGAAGTGACTGGAGGAGGAGGGACAGAGAATGTTCCCAAAGTGAAGAAGCTTAGCAGGTCAGAAGGCAGTGAGGGTCAGGCCCTGGGAAGAGCTGGAGGACTGAAATGGGAATGAAAGCTGACCAGCTGTGGGAGAGTTTATTAGCAGCCTGCAGACTTCACTGAGGTTGAAAAGAACCTTTTCAGAGCATGCATCAGGTTTGTCTAGCTTTCAGCAGCAGCAGGGTGTGGAAGGTGAGGAGGGACTCAGCTGCTACGATAGAGAAAAAAACACACTTCAGTGTGTACAGTGTCAGTAAATGTCCTGGCTTTTTAGTTCCATGTCACTGGAGTCACCTTAGATCCGTGAGTCAGCCAGAAAACAACCTGCCTTGTTTGTCAACAGGTTAGCCTGTGTCTTCTACTATCAGGGTCAGCAAACGAGGAGGGAAGCGTTTTCTTAGAAGCCCCCTTGAAATAAGAAAGTATAGCAAATATCTGAAAATTTTCTATTCCTTAAAGGCGTTTGTGTGGATTATGGTATATACTTTGTGGTAGAATATTTGCCTAGCATCCAGGAGGCCCTGGATTTAATACATAGGACTATCAGGAGAAAAAAAGAAAAAAAAAATCTCTTAAATATTTGGGAAAATTTACCAGTTGCTTGGAGTTTTCCTATAAGAAAGTTTTCAAATCCTTTCAAATTTTAACAAACTTCTCCTGAGAGAAAAAAAGCTCCAGTGACCCAGTGCACGGTCCAGTGTGCTTCCTTCCTCAAGAGCTCAGAGAGCATTGCTTGTTTGTTAAGAAAAAGGGTTTCTATTAGCCCAGGCTGGCCCAGAACTTGCAGTCCACTCCTTAGTCTCTGGGTGCTGGCTTACTGACATGTACCACTACACCTGGCCAAGAGGAGATTTTTTTTTTTTTTTTGGTTTTTCGAGACAGGGTTTCTCTGTGTAGCTTTGCGCCTTTCCTGGAACTCACTTGGTAGCCCAGGCTGGCCTC